CATCATGCCGAGGTTTCAAGAAGGGACAACCTGGAGATTAGAGATAACATCGTTTGATGTTATTTGATAATACCTTTGCAAAGGATGACCCCCCCCCCTCTTGCCCTCTCCTCCTCCCCTCCCTGTTTGAGATTAGTGACACGTTATATTTCCAGGAGGTGGTGCCTGGTCATGCCAAACACCGTCCGAAGAATTTCGGAACCTTCAGAAGCGACTTCTCGGGACAAACCGCCTCCACCAAAGAGGGTATATTCCAGCTCTGCCTTTTCGTATTTCTTCCTGTACGCTTTCAGTCTTGATTTTCTTACCGTAATAGTTATAATCCTATTTAGTCACGACGAACAACAGAGGCAGAATCACCTGAGCAGAAGCCACTTCAGGCTTCTTCGGATTCTCAGTTAGAAGATGTTAGTCAGTAATTTATTTTACTTCTATTTCGACTTTCAGGAAAGCGAGAGCTGGCAGAGAAGTCTGTTAAAGGCACATTTCGCGATTGCCTGATTGGTAAAAACCCGTTCTGATTCGCTGATCCGCAACCGCACAGTTCGCATTACTTCGCCACGTGAAAACGCATTTTATCAGGGGCTTGTGTATCGAGTCTAGTACCACATTCTTATGACGACTCTACCCGTGTCACGCCTTTACTGTGCGTGTGCGTGTCCTCTCGCCCTTGTTTGTCTGATGTCTCCTTCCGCGCTCTTAGTGTCTCTTCGCCTCTCGCTTCTTCGCATAAACGTTCAGTGCGCAGTGTGAAAAGGAGGGCCTTACTTCATGGGAAGGGGGGGGTCGACGAATTCTTGGCACAGGTAAGTCATCTAGAACTCAAGTTTCTGTTTTCGAAGCTCACCCACTTCAAACTTGCACTTGCGATGTGTCCCTTCTAATGAGAGCGGCCTCATCGGGAGAGATATTTATTATGAGCTTACGATTTTTTTTCATTACCCTTTCGTTCTCCGTTAGGGCCTGCTCCCACACAGGTGAAACAATACAGGAGACTTGAAGGCTGTGGATTTGATCGCTGTTGGCGGGCGGTTGTCACCAACGTCACCCACCAATGAGCTTGGCAATAACCGCCCGCCTCCAGCAATCGTGCCCACTCACTCCAAACTCCGATAGTTGGCAGCCTCCATAAAACACATTCTTTCAGGCATTGAAGTCACGTACGCGGAAGTCGATGAGAGCAGCGAAAACAAAAGTTTTCGAGGATTTTGTTTCTACTCCCTAATAATAATTGTTGTTGTTGATAGGTTGTACATATTCTCAAATTTCACAAAAGACGATCTCAGAATCAAATTGTTTTCACTAGTAATCAAAAAAGTTCTAAAATAAATTGTAAATTCATTATTCATTTTTTTGCGCATGCTACTATGAAGGTTAGTTATTCCTGTGAGTATTAAAACTTTTGGACGACATATTTATCGATAAAGCGCCTCAGAAGCTGCGGGTGTGATATCTAAGAGGCGGGGCAAGAGGTCCTGCGTCATTGGTCGGAGGATTTATCGCGCTTCCACAAATGACGCTCGGATTTGTGCTCCTCTTGGACATATCAACTGCTTTGTTTGAAAAAAGGTTATTGCAGGTTTGCCTCCCATTAAGCCACCTGGGAGTCTTAATTTGGGTAAAAAATGTTCCTATAGGCTTCAAGGTCTCAACTGTCGTTCCGTTTTCACCGTGTCACTTCAACAGATCTGATAGCCAGCAGGGCGGCGGCGCAACAGGGAGTGGCGCGGATATAACGGATGTGTAACCTTGAGATTGCTTCACTGGTCCCATTCGTCCTTGAGTTGAGAGACATTGAGCATGAGTATCCTAGGCACTGTTGCCTTTGGAGCGGGGGGGGAGGGCGGGTGCAGTCAAAGTTTGGCAGACCAGGTGCTATGAAAGAGGAAGAAATATTGACAGGCGATAACTACGAAAGAAAGAACACGAATTCGCGCTACAGTAATCGCACTTTTGCATGGGATCATTCTGGGGCGAGCATTGCCGTATTCTTTTCAGGACAGACCATGACGATAAGTAAAGCCGGGCGTTAGCTCAATCGCACCCATTGCACTCAAATACCCGCTTCAACATCGTGAAAAATCGCCTTCTTCAACACTTTTACCTCCTATTGTGCCGATTTTAGAAAGAAAAATTTGTTCGACATACGAACGAGGGCGGAGAGTAAGTCATATACCGTTCCCCAGGAAGCGGTTGAAATTTTTATTCTTCCCTAAACTTTCTATACCCTTCTGCTTTTATGAAGTCCCTCCTCCATGATATGACCACCTTGATATGTTTGTTTCTGTCATAATTTCTGTTTACTATGGACGCTCAGTTTATTACTCTTCTTCGAGTTATTCTCATAGTCTCAAAGTCGATTTGCCCAGTCGACATGACCAAGCGATCAGATGAAACTGGTTTTCAGGTAGCCCTTGGACCATGATTCACTCCTCTTGCAGTAGAAGGTACAACAGCCGACAGCTGATGAGTTGAAGTATGCGGAGAAGGGGATGCAACAGACAGATCAAAAAAATGATTAAAAATTGAAATCGGGTAGAAAACCGTGACCCAGCTCGGCTTTTGTTTGCTCTAATTAGGCTATTCGACCGGCTGTCGATTAGAGGCAGGTGACGGTCAGAGGACTGTCACCTGCCTCTAATGGGTAGCTTCAGTGGCGGCGAAATGGCGTTGCAAGTGATATTCGCATAAGCATCCTATTGATTAAACGTGAAAGTGATGCAGTATTCGAGACAACTAACTAGTAAGCATTTACTAGCTGCCGCGTGTCGCCGCAACCTGGAATTCCCGACCAACAGCCGATGAATGCTGTATCTAGAAAAAAAAATTAGTGGTTCAAATCAGGGAGCGGGAGTAGATACTGTGCCAGGGCACATCATTAGTTGGGGATTTCGACCGAGTCAGTACAACCCCCCCCCTTTTTTCGGGGGGGGGGGGAATGGGACGACCCCTGGTTCCCTCCTCATCGACCTCGTCGACCTGTCGAGCGCGGGGGGAGGGAGAAAAATCAATTATCAAAATAAACTTTTCAGCTCATATACGATCCCCTGTTGGGGCATCCCCAACAGCGATGTGACCTGGACTGTGCTAATTTTTTTACTCACAGTTAGGGTGAAATTAAATTTCGATTAATAGAACTTGAAAGGACACTGAAATCAGCTAACTGGCTGCCCATATGGCCTTTTAGCAGAGAGAGGAGGCCGTTCAGGTGGAAAAATACAGTCTTCTTCGCTGCGGATGATGGGATGTGTCGGTGGTGCTGGATTTGACGCGCCGCCAACTCCGGCTAATGCCGTTTGGACT